CCCCTCCAAGCTAGACTTAAAGCAGACCTCTCAGAATCCCAGCACTTCCCTAACACACACCACTTCCTCTCTCCCAGATCTCCGTCCTTGAGTCTGCCCTAGGAGTAGACAAACTGTTCCCTGTGCACATGTCTCAGCAGTCTGAGAGGGGAATCCCTAACTGCTCTTGGGCTTCCTCTCTCCCAGATCTCCGTCCTTGAGTCTGCCCTAGGAGTAACAAACTGTTCCCTGTGCACATGTCTCAGCAGTCTGAGAGGGGAATCCCTAACTGCTCTTGGCCCAGTGAACATAGGGTGTGTGCAGACACCCCAGCCGATGAATCTTGCCCACATCTTCCACCTCCCAGCAAATTAACCTCTCTGCACCCAGCAGAACTGACCGCAAACCCAGAAATCCCGCCCTCCTTTCCTCAGGAGTGAGATGAGAGCGCAGGCCTGGAGGGATGGGTGGACACTGCTGAGCAGGAGAGAAAGGCCAGAAAGCTCTTTACACTCCTGCTGGCTCCCAGTCTGCCCCAGGACACCCCCACCATGGTCAGACCCTTGTGACAGAGTTCCAGGCCCTGAGCCGTAGAAGGAGGTCAGGCAGAGCTGGCAGTCGTGAGTGGTTATGCCTGGCTGCACGGCTGACACTGTTGCAGAGTGTCAGAGAGTGAGCGGCTGGTTACGTAGCCATTATAACTGGGAGGACCTTGTTCTCTTCACCTCCCAGGGGCTCTTGGGATCACTTTGGGAACCCTGGGGTGTCAGCCAGATTCTGAGGGGGTGGAGAGGTCGTGAGTGACTTAGCAGGACATTAGTGTTAGTTGATTGACTCAAGGCCCCCTCCCTTAGGAGGGGCTTGATGCATAATGTGCTTTGCTATCTGTGAAGGAACTTCTCTCTCACTCACCCGCCCACAAGCATGCAGCTCACCCCAAACCCACATATCACAGAGCAGTCCTCCCCTGTAATGTCAGGCCTTCAGCCCAGTTCTGAAGGTGCCAAAGAAAAGAATTACAGTTGAATAGTGTGCACACATCCCCCCACCAAGCAAGGCTGGTTCTGTCTGGGGTTGGCTGTGTGGCTCTTACAGGGTCTGAGACAAGGTGGTTGCTCTAGGACACAAGGTTACTAAGGTAGAGTGGTCCCCAGGTCCTTTCTGCCCAGGGGAAAGAGAAAAATAGGGGACCCTTAGTGTGAGTTTAGAGACAGCTTTGGGGGGTGGGTCTCCCCCACTTATCAACCCTGACCCCCAGGCCAGTGTCCCTCTGGCTTCTTCAGCACCACCACCTCTGCCAGCAGGGAGGCCTACGGTGGACTCTTCTAGCTTAGGAGGGTTCAGTGCCAGCATGCAGGGAACTAGAAATAATGTTGTTTTAATACCTCTTAATCGTTTAAAATTTCAAAACCGTTTGACTGCTGAACTGGGGAGGAGCCAGAGAATGTTTCTAGAGTTCCCCGTCACCCAGGCCACCCGAAGCACCCTCCCCCTCTCTGAGCAGCCCAAAGTTGTTGCTGTGGGTTCTCATAGAAAATGCCCAGGAGAGCAGGTCCCACTGTGCACCTCCCAGCGCTTGCTCTGGTCCCTGAGGACTGCCTGGGGGAGATCTCTGTACCCACCTTCTGTGACCCCTCCCCATCCCACCTCTGACACCCATGCACACACATTCCCTCATGTGATAGATGCCTCAATAGCCCAGGATCAAAGGGCACAAGGGTTTTCCCTCCTCCCAGCTCCCCTCATACTGGGGGCCTCAGGCCTCCAATGGGCCCCTAGGACTACTTAGGCCCAGACTCTGGCCCTCTTTGAGTATATTTCTTCTCCCAAACAAACAAAAGATGCGACTGAAATGCCCAGCTTCATGCTTCCTGAGGGGGTTAGTGGTGTCTTTTTATTTTTTCCTGAGGGGTGTTGATTAATACCTCGTTAACAGCGCATTTAACGACCTCCGGGTGTTTAATAACCTTCAGAAGTTTCCCACAAAGGCTCAGACTCTGGCGAGAAAATGAGAACCAGGCCCTGGGGCTGCTCCCCTTACCTCCCCCCCTCAACCCCCACCAGGGTCTGGGGCCTCCTTGGACTGATGGGGGGGTGGAGAAAGAGTAAAAAAGAGGGTGCCTGAGACTGCCCCCAGTCCCCCAAGTCACAGTCCAACTGAGCTGGTGGCGGACATTGAGTCACGCTTTCCCCCATGCCAGCACAACTGCAGCAGCTTGCTCCAGGGAGGGGAGCTGAACGGCACTCCAGTGGAGGGAAGGGGGCATGTGAGGCTTGGAGTGGAGCTGGGAAAGGTGTGGATGATGGCATGAGGGTGACAGTGTGCAGGGACATCTAGCCCCACCCCCACCCTTCTACCATGGACCCTTCCCCTCTCCCGTCCAGCTGGACAACTCAGCCTTTGTGTTCCTGTGCCACAGGGTGCTGGTTGTTCTGAGCTCCTAGCTCCTGCGGAGTGTGCTGGGAGAAGCCTGGAGAAGTAGGGCTGTCTGTGGATGCTGGTTTAGGTAGTAGTGATAGTCGGGCTGTGCTGCCCAGAAGTCCCTGACCAACTGGGTGATACCAAACCCCTCCCCTAGATGATATAGAGTGGGCAGTTCCTTGTGACCATGCTCCCAAGGGACTGACCTTCCCTGGGAACCATCCCTCTCTACCACCCCCATTGATGCATGTCACCTACCCACATATGCAAAGAACACCCAGGGATGTGCCCCTTAGACACTTTGTTCTTATCAATGCTTGTTACCAACCCTGAGGAAGCTTGCCTCAACACACCAAGCAGAGAAAAAGTAAAGCAGCCAGAAAGTGGAGATGATGAGAAAGAGACAAGGATTGGAGTGGGGGTTAGGGGGAGTGTACTAGTCATTTGCTGGCTTGTGGATTAGCAAATGATATTTTTGGAAAGAACCAGGTTGTTGAATCAGAGTGGCATAAATTCCCATTCCTGGCTCCTGGGTTTATTAACTGTGTGACTTTATGCAAGCAACTTAACCTCCCTGAGTGGGTTTCCTCACCTGAAATTGAAGATAATAATAGTACCCACTGTGCCCCTTAGGGTTATAAGAATTGAGTTTTGTATATGGAGCATTTAGCATGGTGCCAGGCACAGGGTTAACGCATGGTGGCCAGACTGCCCGTTTACCTTAGTGGCAAGAGGTGAGGGACTGATGTAGTCAGTGGGATCTCTGGCTGCAGGGAAGAGAGGCAGGCTTCCCAAGCAATGCTGCTATTCTCTTCTGGCCTGAGCTGAAGCAAAAGCCTAGAGATGGCTGGGGGAACAGAGGGAGGGGGCATCTGACAGTCCAGCCGTTCTTTGTCCCCACCCCCACCCTGTGACCTAATGACCTGCCCTGGGCTTCCCACAGCTCTATGGCTACTGCTACCAGGACAGCGAGGACATCCCGGACACCCTGACCACCATCACGGAGCTGGGCGCCCCTGTGGAAATGATCCAGCTGCTGCAGACTTCCTGGGAGGATCGATTTCGAGTGAGCGGGGAGGAGGGCTCGGGCGCTGAGCTCCCTGCTGGAATGGTTCTGCCTTAGAAGGCCAGTTCTCCATAGCAGACTTGACTCCTCCTCAGCCGAGGGAGAGGGAGGAAAGGAAGGAACACAGGCTGACTCGGCCATCAGCCAATGGGTTAGAAAAAAGAAGCAGGACATAGAAGATCTTGACATTCTGTGCTCTTGCTCTCCTCATCCCTCCCCTCCCAATCCCCCACATCCCCCGACCCGTGTGCACACCCATGAAAACACACTCAGCTTGGCTGCAAGGAGGGCCATTGTCCTGGGACTAGGAAAGACCTTAGGTCATCTTGACCTTTCCTCTGTTTCCATACACTGAACTAAAACCACACTCAAGATGCAACTTCAGAGAAGGGATTCATATCCCTCCCCTCCCAATCCCCCACATCCCCCGACCCGTGTGCACACCCATGAAAACACACTCAGCTTGGCTGCAAGGAGGGCCAGTGTCCTGGGACTAGGAAAGACCTTAGGTCATCTTGACCTTCCCTCTGTTTCCATACACTGAACTAAAACCACACTCAAGATGCAACTTCAGAGAAGGGATTC